CAAGATATGTTTATTTGCCAAGTACATTTTATATATTTGAAAATATTTTTATTTTGTAAATTTTTGCTTTTTGTTTGCTGAGGTTTGCTATAGTATTCATATACTATTATACATTATTGAATATCTTTATTCTTCAACTTTTAATATGAAAACATCTAGTTTCAAACTCTTGTAAATGATTTTAAAAAAAAATTTATTTAATGCTTTAATTGTATATATATTAAAAACTAAATGTATATAGCCATCCATATCTTTATGATACACATATTTTTTAACTTCTTCTATAGCATTGTTCTAACTATTAAAGATCATTTGAATTCTATCATTATTATCCAAATTTTTAAAAAGATTTGATTTAGGCTTATAATCATAATACTCATTCCTATTATCATGTTTATACTTATTACTATGTTTGTATTCATTATCACGTATGTACTTATTGTTATATTTGCATTCATTATCATATTTGCACTCATTACTATGCTCATCTTTTTTACTATATTCACTCATATTATCATCTTTATACTCACTACTATGTCTATTTTTATACTCATTACTATATTTACAATTACTATCACTATTATATTTGCAATTATGAACTTTTTTAACAATCTCAACTATAATCTTTTAATTATAGATCATTATTAGATAAAGACATCTGTTTTTAATCTTTTCTTCTATTTGTAATTGTACACCGTTTGTCTTTATACTTTGAGAGATAAGTCTTAATAAACTTTTATTAGATAATAATTCACGAATAAATACAAACTGATTATTAATATCTTTAGATATATACAAATACAAATTAGATAAATAGTATTACACAAGTAAAATAAAATAATATAAAATAAAAAAAGCAAAAAAAAAGCAAGAAAAAACAAAACAAAAGCAAAAAAAAAATAGAAAAAAGTAAAAAAAAGGAAACAAAAAAAGGCAAAAAAAAAGTATATAAAAAAAGCAAGAAGCAAAGAGTGGTTAAAAGTGAAATAAAAAAAGTACTAGTAGTATAAAGAAATTAAAAAAGAGCAAGAAAAAGAGCAGCCAAATAAAGCCAGTGAGAAAGAGTTTGGCAAGAAAAAAAAATGATGCCAAAAAAATATAAATATAAATAAAAAACAGTACTATAACTATATCTTTACATGAAAGTTTTTTGTATTTTTTTTTAATTTGGTATTTTAAACTTTAAGCTTAAACCTTTCACAACATACTCACTTTTGCTAAAAGAAAGTTAGTTAAACTTACTATTGAACCTTATTTATTTTTGCTTTATTGAATACATATATATTATATCATACAATTCAAATAATATATTTTTATTCTATCTGTTAGCTTGTCATAACCCAAATCATGAAAGTATTTGTATAACAAATTCTTATTGGCTTATAAATATAATGATTCACATATTGTATAATGAATAAATACTATGATCTGTATTTTGTATAACTAGTACCAATATTCTATAATATAAATATAAATAGTATTATGATATTATAAAAATATATTTTTTCAATTGAAAAATACAACTCTTTCTACTGATCATCAAAACACAAATTTTTAGAAAAACATAATTAACAAAAAACTTAAAAAAATATATAAATGACTACTAGAAAACCAAACTCAAAACTCTAAGAAAGAGGAAAAGAACTACAAGAAATACTCAGTTTCTTAGTAATTTGAGTTAAAAGAAACAGAAGTGGCAAAGAAATAGAAGAAGTTGTGAAATATTGTCGATATTTTTTTACACTTTGCAAAAATTTGGGGAATCAGTCTTAACTCTGAATTGCAAATTTGTTTTGGTAATACAAGAATCGCAATACATAATAAAAAATAAACAAAGAAAACACAACAAAAACATGTGACAGAAATAAACAAAAATGATAAACAACTACAACAATCAACAACAACAAGCAACAAAGGAAAAACAACAAGTCATATAAAGCAAAAGTTAACAGAATATTCTGGGAAAGAACCCACTACTAGAGAAGATGAGATGATAATGATTTTTGAAGCTATTCAGAACATAATACAACAAATATAACTGATAAAGTAATAAACATAAAAGTAGAAGAAATAATAGCAAAATACTCTGGACAAAAGCTTATCTTAAAAGAAGAAGCCAAAACACAAATAGATGAACTTTATAAAGAATTTTGGCAATATGAAAAAGGCAAACTAGAGTATACAAGACTTGCACTTATAGAAAAAGATAGTAAAATTTTTTATGAAGCAATGCAAAATGGTGAAGACCCAGTTCATCATATAATAATGGATAAAATAATTGGTTTCATAATGAAATTAAGGCTAGCAGATGGAGTTAGAAGAGTATTAAAAGATAAAAAAAAACAAATTGCTAAAATAAAGTTGAAATTATATTTAGTTTGGAGCAGAAAACTCCAAGAACAAAAAAGAAACCAGCAAAGATAGCATAACAAAACAATACTGAAATCTTTAGTATATCAATTTGAAGAATCTATCAAAACTACTGCAGCAATTCAATATGAGACAAGAATAAGAATTAAAGAAGCAAAGGAAAGAAAGAAACAAACTCTGCAAATCTTGCAAAAAAAGATACAAACTTTGCAAAAAGAAAAACAAGCAGCTGAAATAAAGTTAAAGTTGGAATCAAGCTGGAGCAAGAGATTTTAGAAGCAAAAAAATATTTGACAAAAACAAAACAATGATATAGCACTAAGAACTCTGGTTTAAACTTTTAAAGTATCAGTTAAATTTGAAGCAGCAAACTAAGAAAAAAAAGAAAGAAAAACCAGAGAAAAAAAGAAAAAAAGAATTAAAGAATGAAATGTTGAAAACACTATTGAAGCAAAAGCCCTAAACAAGTTTTAAGAAAAATCAAGGCCTAAGATTGTAGTAACAGATCCAACCAAATGGCTGATTGAAGTAATATATCAGTTAGGTATTAAAGACTCACAGTCCAATAGTAGAGTATGGAAGATGAAAAGAGAAATCTGCTTACAAAGTAAATATGGTGTCTAAAGGACCAAAAAA